AAAAGAAAAGAAAAAGAAAAAATATCTTTATGTTTCTTGACTGGTACATTTAATCCATTTACATTCCATGTAATTATCAATAGGTATGACTTGATTGTTGTCACTTTTCTCTATGCTTAATTAATTAATTAATTAATTTTTTTGTGGTGCTGCTGGATTCTTTTTTCCACATATTTTTTTATGCTGAGTTCATTTTGTTTGTGGGTTTTCTTTTCATTTTTTTGGTGTTAATGTTTAATAAATCTTTCTGAATTTCCTCTTTTTAAATTTTGATGTGCAGGTGTATTATTTTGGCTCTTGTGGACTTATTTTCATTTTCTTCAGCTGCAGCCTGAACTTGCATATGAGAAACTGATGGTCTGTTCCACATTTGCCCCATGACTTTGTTTTGGTTGATGATATTGACCTTCTCGATCATCTCTTCCCACAAATGTAGGCAATTTGATTTCTGTGTATTCCATCTGGTGAGGTTCATGTGTACAGTCACAGTTTATGTTGTTTAAAAAAATATATTTGCAATGAATAAGTCATTGGTTTTGCAAAATTCTATTATATGATCTCCAGCATCATTTCTACCACCAAGGCCATATTTTCCAATTACTGATCCTTCTTCTTTGTTTCTAAATTTCTCATTCCACTCACCAGTAATGATCTTGATTACATGTTTGATTATTTCAGACCACAGGAGTTGGTAGAATTCTTCAATTTCATCATCACTAGCTTTAGTGGTTGGTTCATAAATTTGTATTTTAGTGGCAGTAATTGGTATTCCTTGTAGGCATATGGATATTATCCTATTATATACATTATTGTATTTCAAGGTAGATTTGTTTTTTTTAACTTTTTATCCTGAATTGAGTGCAGGTTCAAAGAGTAGATCATCAGTTTTACATTCAACAAATCATATGCTTTGTTACATCTCAATAATTACAATGTCCTCCATGTAATAACAGTTATTCCACTTCCACCCTGTGGTTCTTATTTTCATTCCACCCTCTTTCCCAACCCTTCTGACTTTGGCCTTAGGTAGATGCTGCCCTTTCAATTTTGAATGGTTGCTCAGTCCATGGGTAACATACCTTACTAGTGTTGTTGTCACCCCTATCACAAGATCACTTTGAATCATAAGCTTGGTGGTTCAAACTCACCAGCTGCTCCTTGGAAACCCTATACAGGGTAGCTCTTAGTCAATTCCAACTCGACAGCACTTAACAACAACGGCAACAACATATACCCAACTTGAAAATTGTGAAATGAGGGTGAATTCCTGAAGGTGGCCAAGGGCCATTGTCTAGGGTACCTCCAGTCTCTTTCTGACCAGTATGCCCAATCTTCTTTTTTTTAAAAATAATTTTGAGTTTTATTCTATATTGTCTCCCACTCTGTCCAGGACCTTCTAATGTGATCCCTTTCAGAGTGTTTGGTAGTGGTAGCCAGGCACCATCTAATTCTTCTGGTCTCAGAGTTCTGGAGCTTGATGTTCCATTAATCCATTGGGCTAATTGATTCCAAGCATCTTCCATTTTCATCACTCTTCTGTCTTCTGCACTTGGAGAGACCAATAGTTGTCTCCATCTTTTTGCTATTGTGAAGAGTGCTGCAAGGAACAATGAATATATCTACTCATATTATGGCTATTATTTCTTGGGGATATATGCCCAGAAGAGGGATTGCTGGGTCATATGGTATTGCTATTGTCAACTTTTTGAGAAATCACCATACCATTTTCCACATTGGTTACATCATTTACAGTCTCCCCAGCAATGTAGGAGGGTCCCAGTCTCTCCACACCCTCAACAGAATTTGCTATTTTCTGTTTCTTTGAACTTTTAGATGGCATATTATTGTTCTGCTATTAATGTTGGGGTGAGACGATATCTTTTTAAAATTATTATTTGCATTTCTCTAATGGCTAATGAGTGCACTGTGAGTCAAACAGTCCGAAGTTTGAGCCCACCAGCAGCTCCACAGGAGAAAGATGAGGTTTTCTGCTCCCTGAGAAAAAGTGAAACCTGGGAAACCCTATAACTAGGTCGCTGTGAGTTAACAACAGACTTCACAGCACTTAACAACAATGGCTAATGATCGCAAACATTTCTTCATATGCTTGTTGGCTGCCTGAATATCTTTTTCAATAAGTGTCTGCTTATGTCCTCAGCCCAGTTTTTAATTATTTGCCTTTTTCTTGTAGGGAGGTTGTAGTTTTTTAAATAAATTTTAGTGTGGCTCTGGAGGTTAATGTGCTGGACTGCAAGGTCAGTTTGAATCGCAAGGTCGGGGGTTCAAGTTCATCAGCCACTCCTTGGAAACCCTATACCAGGTCGCTGTGAGTCAGAGCTGTCTCATTGACACTTAACAACAACAGCATTCATAAATTGTCAGTAGCTAACCTTTCAGAAGTGGTCTGCCTCTCCCTCCACTGAAACCTGTCCACCATGGGTGACCCTGATGGCCTTTTAGTGTCCAGTGGCATAGCTTCCAGCATCACAGCAACACACAAGCCATCACAGTATAGTAAACTGACATGAGTGGTGGAGTCACAAAATATTTTTATTAAATCATAGAAACCTTTATTAAACAAAAATATGAAACTGTGAAGCTACATCTAGGTCTAAACACTTCTGAAGGCATGTTTCCATCTCTCTGAAGAGTTGAATGGTGCCTGGCGACCATTTACTAAAATTCCTCCCTGAAGAATTCTGTGATCTTCGATTTATGTGATGTCTAATGGCAATTTGGGCATCCTCAAAGGACTCACATCGTGTTCCTTTGAAATGTTCTTTGAGTTTGGAGAACAAAAGAGAATCGAAGGGGTCCAATCGAGGCTGTAGGATTGTTGGGGTTTCCCAACGAAATTCTCCTGGGACAGCCCTTGCTGCTCGCAAAGAATGAGCAGGTACATTGTGGTGATAGAAACAACTCCTCAGTACAGCTTTCCTACCCTTCCTCTTACTAGTTTAGTTTTCAGTTTTCTTAAAACTTCTTCATTATTGGAATTCACAAAAACTGTCACTGTAACCCTCTGAGCTGACCTCTCTGCTTTGAACTTAACTGTCTCTGCATATCCCCACAAATGCCACTGCTTTGCTTGGACCTTCTTTTGTTTAAGGCACCCTAATGAGACTAAGACAAGTGTATTAGTAAAAGAACTTGTCTGCAGTCATCTACTGATCACAAAGCCATGTTTAAGCACATTTTGTTTGGATGTATCACTAGAAACTTAGTAGTGATTTTTTTTTATTTACCCTCATTTTGGGTTAATTAAAATAGTTTATGAACATTCACTTCACCTACTTTTTTAATATTATTTCTAATGGGGCTACTAGAAACTTTTAAAGTATATCAATGGTCCCCAAACGTGTCTATA